CAAATTACAATAATTCACACACACACACATACACACACACACACACACACACACACACACACACTAATCATTTATTTCAAATTACAATAATTCACCCCCACACACACACACCTCCCCCCACAAACACCCAAAAAGGTCAGTCCTGAGGCTGTTTGGAACAATCAGCACTGTTGGACAGAGTACAAAGAAAAAAAATCCTACTCTTCCAGGAGTATGTTCCAAGCTTCACGTTGTGTGGCTAAAAAGCCAATTTGGTCAAATTGTCTGACACCAAGCTGGTTAACAGGACAATTTGGCCAAAAGGATGATTTGGCTGGGCATGATGGCTCACACCCATAATCCCAGCACTTTGGGAGACCAAGGTGGGAGGATTGCTTGAGGCCAGAAGTTTGAGACCAGCCTGGCCAACAGGGTGAAACACAGTCTCCACCAAAAATGCAAAAATTAGGCAGGCGTGATGGTTGTAGTCCCAGCTACATGGGAGGCTGAGGTGGTTGGATCGCCTGAGCCAAGGAGGTCAAGGCTGCAGTGAGCTGAGATGCCACAGCACTTCAGCCTAGGCAACAGAGCAAGACCTTGTCTAAAACAAGATTTGATTCAAAATTAGTATTTTATTTATTTATTTATTTAGAGGCAGAATCTCACTCTGTCGCCCAGGCTGGAGTGCAGTGGTGTGATCTCGACTCACTGCAACTCTGCCTCCTGGGTTCAAGTGATTGTGATTCTCCTGCCTCAGCCTCTCCAATAGCTGGAATTACAGGAGCCCACTACTACACCTGACTAATTTTTGTATTTTTGTAGAGATGGGGTTTCACCATGTTGCCCAGGCTGATCAAGTGATCCACCGGTCTCGGCCTTGGAAAGTGCTGGGATTACAGGCATGAGCCACTGCGCCCAGCCAAATGAGTATCTTTTACCTTTTTTTAAAATTATTATTTATTATTTATTTTTTTCAAAGACGGGTTTCACCATGTTGGTCAGGCTGGTCTTGAACTCCTGACCTCAGGTGATCCGCCCGCCTTGGCCTCAAAGTGCTTAGATTACAGGCGTGAGCCACCACGCCCAGCCATCTTTTACTTTTTAATTGATATACCAGTTAGCACTGTTAAACGTTTTCACACAAAACATATATTCATATGTTTGCTAATTTTACAAAAAGAAGATAAGGAATATTTTCAGGCCCTGGCTTCACAGAGTGCTGGAAACGTGGTGGTGCAGGCGGAACCACCTCCGCACTCCTGGCAGAACAGGACCCTCCCTGGGAAAGTTCCAGGCCCAGGAGGTAAGAATCTTGAAATTTCCACAGGACGCTTTGTTCCTTTTGGCCAAGTGTCTGGATGAACCCATCCCCTTGGGTAGCAACAAAAGGTAAAGGGCCTCTGCGAGGCTTTCAGATCCCAAAAACAGCAACCGCTGGAGTGGAGCGCGATGGTGAAAGCAGCCACCTTGAGCTTTCTCCTTTCTTTCCCACCAGAGGGCTGGGAAAAGTCTTCTTCCTTGTGTCATAATTTCATTTAGCAAATATTTAACGCTTTGCATTGTGTGCAAACTTTACCACGTTTTCTGGGAAGAAAAGTCATGGGGAACTTTCAGTTGATTAACAAATATTAATACTTTTAGCCAAATTTTGAATTTTTTGTCACGTTTTTCATTTTTGAAAAACAGCACTTTAGCATATTCAATGGCTGTGCATTTAATAAACGGCAATAAAATAGCACCCAAAATGTTA